CTGTTTTTGATGGTTTGTATTTTGGATGGATTACTTGTCCATGCATGAGTTTCACTTATACGCTATTTTTCTTTTAATAAAATTGTGTTTCCCATCAAAAAAAGAATGGAGTTGCTTTATTGTGGGGCGTTAATAATGGTGATTACAAACGCTCTCTATTCGATAACACCAAAAAAAATTTAGGAGTAAATTAATACTAGAAGCAACAAAATCGAAATTTGTATGTTCTAATCTTTGATTCAACCAAAATAAGCACCTAAGAATCACAGCATTGGAAGATAGGGGCTTAGGTTTTTGGGCTAGAGGGAAGGGATTCTATAATTGCAGATGCAGAGGAAGGATTGGGGTGGGGGGGGGGAGAGGGAGAGAGAGATGGTTCTGAACCAACCAGAAGTTGGACACGTTGCTGTACACATACATGCCACATCATTCTGTATGGCTTTTCTGTTTGATTTTCCTGTATGTGGAGCCTTACCCGAATAGAAAGAGATTACTTGGTTCAAATCATGAGAAATTGCTTGTAGAAAGTCCTAAGAAAGAAAGTTCACATATCTAGGTTCAAGAAAAATGCATTTTGGAATTGTTATTTACATACAATGTAATCAATCCAAATAACACATATGCTCTAATGCCCATTTGGTGCTCCACATTGAAAGGAAATCTTTCAAAATCTATCAATCTGTATTCTAAATGGGTCTATCTTACTTTTTGTTGCATTTTATATGTGTATATTGGGATAAATGTGGGGATGTCCTGGTCCTTGGAATGGTAATGGTATTTGGTTTGTACATTCTCAAAGAATGTAGGACAGGAGAAGGCTGATATAGATCACATAGTTGGTAAGTTGATGAGATAGTTCATCTTTTCATTTTAGTCAGTCGGTGATTAACGAAACATTGTGCAATTAAAATGGAGAGAGTTTTTAAATCCACTTCAAAGGTTTGTTGTACTGAAGATGATTTTATAAACGAAGATAACCATGTGTATCTTGTAAGATCTTCTTATGCTATAACTGTGTGCTTTTGATCACCTTTTGTTATTGATGTAACACGGCGCTCGGGCGCAGCATAACAAGTTTGGGCAGTGAAAAGATATAAGCTATTGTTCTTTTCTGGTAAGTTATCCTATATACAACAAGGAAGATGGGAGTAATAGGAGGCAGTGAGAAAGAGTAGAAGAAGAAGAAAATATATGAAATGCGAAGGGAGAGACAGATTTCCTAGCCTTGTACTTATGAGGCGAATGAAAGAGGGATTTAGGGAAAAGTTGGGGGACTATAATAAGAGAGAGTGGGTGCGTCTTCTACGCCTTTCAATACCCATTGAATAGAGAGAGAACAAGAGAAGGAAGAGGAAGAAAGGGGAGATGAGAGGAAAGGGCGGAGAGATAGAGAGATGAGAGCCCAAAGCTCTTCAAAACTCAAATATCATGCATTTCTGGAGGCTGATTTCTTTGACCCCAACAGACATGTATGGTCCTAGAAACACATCTCTACTTTCAATAGTTAACTCCTCTACTAGTGTCAATCCCATTAATTAGCTCCTAAAGCATCCAATTACAATACAATATTATCAAGAAATGATTCCTCTTAAGACTTTTAACACTTGCGTCATATATTTTGCCCCGATATATCTATATGAGAGATCATGTTGATGAGTATGGGGTTTGGTGCATAAGAAACAGCTCCAGAAAGTGCAGAAGTAATAATTGTTTCAACTGATATTAGTTGTATTGAAGGAAAAAAAAAAGGTATTATGATTGGGGCCATGCATAACAAAATGGAGGTATAAAAGGGTTGTGCTGTAAAACCTAATGTTCTTTTTTGTTTTTTGTATTTTTTGACCTAATGAGCCCATTTCTTGTATTTTATTTATTTATTTATTTTGATAAGAAGCATAACTTTCGTTAAATAATGAAAACATTACAATATAGTTGACAAGCAATTTTCCATCCTAAAGAAAAAACAAAGAGGATAGAAATAAAGAAAACAAATTTAGAACATAACCATGTAATCATCTAACTGCATGACGCAATCCAATCAATACTAAGGGGAAAAAATGGCACATCCTCAAACTCTTTAGCGGCCACCGCCCAAGGGGAAGCCAATAACTTTGTTTTGTTCCATAGGAACACATGTTCTTCTTTATTGTCAAAGATTCTCCTATTCCTTTCCATCCATACCACTCAAAGAATTGCCATAACCACACTCAGTACAAGATTATTCTATTCCTTTCCATCCTCTACTTATTAAAAGATCCAAAGGTATCGGGCTTTATGCTTTGCCAGGCAAACCGATGATTTTCACCTCATACTATTTAAGTTATAAAGGAAATTCGGATCCAAAAGCTATCTGCCTTTTGGAATTATTCATTGGGGAAAGGGTTGGGGAATTTTGGAATGACACGAAGG